TGACAGGATCGAGAGGTGAGCGAACGCCGGTATGTGTTCGCTCACCTCCCGATCTACTGAGCCGACCTGTGACAGTCTCATTGTCACAGGTCGGCTAGAACTATGAGGTGGGTGAAAAGCACTCACCTCATAGTTCTCCTTTAACTGTGAACAAAAATGTATCTTATTTGTGTATCACTCGGCTGTAGATCCTCAAATCATCTCTGAATTCATGCCAACACTGTCCTTCCTTCTGGAGGGGGGCTACTTTTGTTCCCCATGGTCCTTGTGTGTGTTAAGTAGCCACCGCTCCAAGCTCGCTCCCATGATGGACTACAATCTCAGGTTTAGTTTACTCATGTGTATGGAGATTGTAGTCCATCACAGGAGTGAGCTTGGAGTGATGACTACTTAACACACACAGGGGCCATGGGGAACAAAAGTAGCCCCCCTCCAGAAGGAAGGACAGTGTCAGCACCAGTTCAAAGATGATTTGAGGATCTACAGCCGAGTGATACACAAGATACATTTTTGTTAATAGTTGAGGTACCTGAATGTATTTTTTAAGAATGAACTCCTGAGTTTACTGTCACTTTAATTCCATTTGTAAAGAAAAAAGGAAAGAACGTTTGTTTGTGCATATATTCTTGCAGAACAAAAGATTAACAGATATTTGCAGGTTGAGTGGCCAGCCCCCATGCGTCACTTGTTCTGGACACTAGGACAATACGTACCAATCTGTTTGACGCAAACGCAATGAGGTTTGTGGAATTCGATTGCATGCAGATAGCATGTTCTCCAGCAGTGTGTGACGTAAATGTAAACTTTCCATCCGGTCCGTACAATTTGGAGAGCAGTACCTGTAGATATACCAATATAAATGATATGAAGGCAAGCATTGGCAAGCTTACAGTGCAGTGAAAGATGCCGTATATCAATGTGAGTTAGCCAACTTCTGGACCACAACAAATATGGGTAGCCATTAGAGTGTACTTATAAGGAAACAAAAAATTGGAGACGGAAGCGCCACTACCCGGAGCAATAAATGTGGTAGAGCAGGGTGTAAGCGTTGGTGATTTACTCACCTGAGGCTGGGTGAGCATTCGCTTGTACTCATCAGATTGCGGTGAAGCGGATGGAGTGGTGGTGGGGGTGATCCCTCTTCTCCAGGGTGGCGTAGCGATTGGACCCAATCAGGCAGATGGAGACACAAGAAAGCGAGGGGGTGAGGTATGCAGTGGTGGGTGAAGAAGAGGTGGGCTTCTGTAACTCACCGTGAGGATATTGAAGGGCGACTCTCAGCGATGACGGTGCGGCCACGGATGTGCCTGGGCGGTGGGCCGTCGGAAGGTCCTCAGGACCTCTGGCACAGGTGTCCTCTGATGGCAGGTGCTGTGAAGAGGTGGAGCGACGTGGTGTCCTGGATGGGGGGACTGGAGAGTGATGGAGGCGCCGGAATGGCAGAGTGTTTAGCTGCCGTGGCTTTCTGACAATCCGACGGGGCTGTGACCTGCAGGCGTTTGCTGGGGAGTCCTGTAGTGCGGGTATTGCAGCGCGGGCGGTGTCTGTAGACGGGTGGAGTGTGGGAGACCCTCAGGGGAGCGGTGGAGACCGGGTTGACAGGCTGACGGCAAACCTGTGGTGCTGGTGTTGCGGTGCAGGCGGTGTCTGTGGACGGGTGGAGTGTGGGAGACACTCAGAGTTTAAGTGGAGACTGGGCTGACGGCGACGCGTTTCGAAGGTGAAACCTTCTTTTTCAAGCCGAAGTTGAGGGAAAAAAAACAATTTTTTTTCTCAACTTCGGCTTGAAAATCACCCACAAGTGATAACCGGTGTACCCACCAAGTACTGCCTCTTTTTTCCCCCCCGCATCTTCCCCCTATCTCTGACAAGCGCCACACAAGGGGTAAACTCTCTCAATTTTTCATTAGAGTGTACTTAGTCCTTGGAAAGAGGGGTGCCTAGTTACAGGATCTTAGAACTATTCTCTTAGTATAGCAATCTCCAAGCATGCGGTACAGAACCATGCACTGGCAGAAATGAATATCGCATCATCTAGTACATTTTATCAGAATGCTTTTAAATATTCTGAGGAAGGGGGCATGCCCCTGAAACGCATCAATCTAGCTGACTGCGGCCGGTGGACGGTGATGCGACTGGAGGAAGCCGTGATATGGGGCGGAATTATCCTGGGTTAACCGACAGTGTGGCCCTTGGCCTTTTGACAAGCGTGATGAAAGCATTTGTTTGTGAGTACATATACCCTTTTTTATTCATTTAAATAAAAGATTTTACATACAGAACTGGCAGAGCGCCAGTTTTTTGCTTTTAAATATTTGTCTATGCATTTAGCGCTTTAGCATTGCTGAACATGATTTCGATGGAGCACAAATGAAACACTTTCATCATCTGTGCACAGGCTATAAGCACTTGGAGTGTAAGATTTTGGGCTGGTTGGTTTTTGCAAATACCAATGAAGAAGGTTATGGAACAATAGACCTATGGAAATATGGACTATAGTTGAATAGTTTTTGGCTGTTAATACTGAATGCATTGTCTACTGATATTATAATTCACTGTTTATCCTCACATAGTATCTTCCATGTACATTAATATTTGTATAGGTTACATTACATATACATTATAATTAGAACTTTATTAGAGGTAGGGTTAGGTTACCAGCACAGTACACCTTAGTAACAATCATTAAAGAAGACCTTTGGGCCTTCCCTTGCAGTAGGGCTACCCAAGCTCTTGTTTTGTCTAGAGGAATGAATAAAGCAGATATATTCACCCAATTATTATCGGTCCCGCGGAAGTCATCGCTCACCTCTTCCCCCCCTGCTCTGGCTGTGAAATGTCCCTTGGTGTCCCCACATCTAATGCAAGTCAGTGGACCTGCATTAGATATGATGATGTCAGCTGCCCTTAGACTGCTAGAGCCCAGAGGAGAACAGGTTGCGAGGATCAGGTGAGTGCATCTGCTTTATTCCATCCCCTAGAGAATAATGAGCAGATAACCCTTGCAGTGTGGGGGTAGTCCTACTGCAAGGGAAACTGTTTAAAATTCCTGGATTTCTTCTTTAAATAATTCAGACCTGCAGAGTAGAAGCCTTAAACAAGTCATGAATAAAGTAATCAGCAGAGAGAATAGTCCTGTATATTAGAGCATTTACCTCATTATTCGGAGCCTTGACAGTCACAATCATTCCAAGGCCGGGAGCAGAAGCAAGGAAGTCATGTTGGCCTAAGTCCCACTTTTGTATCTTGTAACGACCTTATCGGAGAACAAAAAACACAGTGTGGTTAAGGGGTGGGGAAACAAAGCATTTCGCTTTGCAAAAGCAGAGTGTTCAGTTCTGGGGACAAGCAGACTGGACAAGTTGGATTAGGGTTCTGTGGTCCCATGACATTGGCACATGTTTATTTCATGACCAGTGACCTCAAAGACAGGTGATGCTCGACTGGCCTTGATGCAAGATTCATAATACATGTTAGTGACCTGTCGTCTGCAGCTCCTATTCCCAATGTAACATTGGTAGTCAAAAGCTGTTTTAAGTTAGTCTTTAAATGGTAAAATAGCAATGTTTCTTCTTTGACATAAGAGGACAAACTTGTATCAAACCTAAGATTTGAATTAGGCAAAAAGCAAAGACTAGGCTGGGGGGAAGTTAGTATTAGGGTTACAGTGAGGTGTAGTGTCTGGGTTGAAGCTGTATAAAGGTGTTAGGTTTACAGGGATGGTTTGTCTGAGAATTAAAGCTATGGTTACAAGGAGAGTTAGTGTTAGGGTTACAAGAAAAAGCTAGTGTTTGTATTAAGGCCTCTTCCACATGGGCTTTCCGTATAGGTTCATCTGTCAGTTTTTCAGGCAGATTTGATCAGAATCCTTGTATTAGTCTATTGGCAGCTGTATCTGACTCCATCCAGTTCCAGAAAACAAAACAGAACCGAGTTCTGTTTTGATGGACCTGATTGTGACGGATCCGGTGTAGTCTCAAATAAACGGTCACATGTCCACCTACATCCAACTCCCCACAGACCTAAAATGGGTCCAGTAAGATCTTCCATTGTAACAAAATGGATGTTGGACATCCTTTCCAAGTGATAGTAGTAAATCACCAGCACACACAGGAAATAGCTTCAATCTCCTTCATGTAATTTATTAAAATGTCACATCGTGCCTTGCATGCTAATATTTCGGGACGGCGCAGGGACCCTTCATCAAAGCGACACAGTGACACTGTCGCTCTGATGAAGGGTTCCTGTGTGGTCCCAAAGTGTTAGCATACATGGTTGTGTGTGAGATTTAGGGAGCTTCTGTGTTGTGGTTACAGGGAGAATAAGTGTTTGGGTTATAGGACAGAATAGTGTTTGAGTTACAGGGCAGATTAATGTTTGGGTTACAGGGAGGGGTAGTGTTACAGAGGGGATTAATGTTAGGGTTACAGGGTGGGTTAGGGTTATAGATAGGTGTAATATTATGGTTACAGAGAGGGTTAGTGTTAGGGTTATAGAGAGAGTTAGTGTTAGGGTTACAGAGAGGGTTAGTGTTAGGGTTGCAGAGAGGGTTAGTGTTAGGGTTATAGAGAGAGTTAGTGTTAGGGTTACAGAGAGGGTTAGGGTTATAGAGAGAGTTAGGGTTACAGAGAGGGTTAGTGTTAGGGTTACAGAGAGGGTTAGTGTTACAGAGAGGGTTAGTGCTAGGGTTAAAGGTTGGACTAGAGTTAAAGGGAGGGTTAGTGTTAGGGTTACAGGGTGGGTTAGGGTTACAGAGAGGGTTAGTGTTAGGGCTATAGTTTGGGCTAGGATTACAAAAAGGGTTCATGTTAGGGCTACAGGCTTTGTCTAGGATTACAGGGAGGGTTAGTGTAGGGTTACAGGATATGTTAAAGGTTGGATTACAGTAAGGGTTAATGTTTGGATTACAGGTAGTGTCAATGTTTGGGTCACAAAAAGGGTTACTTGCAGAGTTGTGTTTACTGGGCATAAATTGGACTGTAACCAAGTAAAATATTAACCAATAACAAAAAAAAATAATTTTGTTATTTTAATAACCCTGCCGTTTCAGTGACGACCCATTTTATTTATAAGGAGGGATGTACGGAGGGATGATATTAAAAACACTATATATGTATACATATTGCATTTTTTGTAGTCGCAGTCCAGCAAATATGTTAAGGTAAATGTGTTTTTAAAATCATCTGTATACACTGAGGCCATGAATATGTAAATATAATGATATGCCTTCAGTTTTCAATGTACGGTACTTCACGTATAAGAACCCCACGGAACAATATCTTACATTTTCCAAAGTTTCTGAGTCTAAAATACAGATGACATCATTGGCACATTGTCTGATGTTTTCTGTCACAGTAATTGTTCAGTGTGTACAGAATTCATGACAGAACTGAAGTCATTTTGCAGCCTGGGGATCATGCAGTACAATGAGTTGGAGGACACCACGGAGCGATATTGTTCCAACAGAGTTTTGCTCAGTACTGAAGTTTGTCCTCACACTGACCTCTCTTTAAATACAAGATATCTACTGTGTGTATATTTTATTTCAATACTATTTCCAGGTCTTCAGATATAGTATGAGGCTGAATTGCTGACGCCAGAGGAACTCGGGCAACTACCAATTTAAGAAAGAGGTCATCAATGGCAGCCTAAGTTGTTTCTCTTATGACAGGTTTGCTTTTACGATGATGAAACGAGCGGCAGTCTTACAGCCCTTGAAATATTGTCTACTGAAAGCCTGTGACTGAAATTGTCTGTCAACAGCAACTAATCATAGAAATTTGTATTCTGTTGTACCACAGGGCTCCTCTCTCTGTTTTTATAGAGCTTGCACACTGTACTCTCTACCCTCATACCACAACCAACACCAGTTTGTACTCCTTGGCAGTGCGCTTGATTTTGTCGCTTTAATCATAGAAATGATTGGTGAAACCTAATTGGTTTAATTTTGCATCAGCTCTAGTTTTTGTGTTCACTTTCTCTTCAGCAGATTTATTGAATCAGCTCCATTAAAGTCAATCCCTGCCCAAAATTTTTTTTAATGCAGTCCACTCCCCCATCTTCTCCTGGATCAGGGGTAGCCAAACGTCAGCCCTCTAGCTGTGGTGCAACTACAAATACCATTCGGCATTGCAAGACTCTGACATCCATAGGCATAACTTCCAGAGAAAGGGGCATGATTGGATTTGGGCCATATGTTGTGCTCTCTTCTATCATTTATCAGGTGCTGATTAGCAAGGAGAGGGAGGACTGTAAGCATTGACATTGCTCAGTGCATGCTGGCCCTGCAACGTTGTCACCCTCCTAGAGGACGACTGTAGGGCTTACAGGATGACCAGGGATTTTTGAAGGAGTAAACAAGAATTGGTAAACGTACAGTTGTATGTATTGAGTTTCTAGAAAAACATGGGATTTTTTCACTTTTGGGTATAGTTATACTTTACTTTTTCGAAAAGTAGGAACAATGACGCAGACATGATAAGCTTGATGTTTGTCATTCACAGGAAAAATTAACTCTGGCAAGTAATCTTTGTATACGCTTTGGGTTATATTTAAAGCGCAGACCATTTCTTTTTTTCCAGTTTGGATAAAGGTGGGAAGTGTAGAAACCCCATATAAGGTTTAATTCTTGTCTGTATCTCCACAGTTGAGATTCACCCTCTCTATTTCATGACCGACAAAGCTAGGAAGTGAAAGGAAGTGTAAAATCCAAATTTATAAAATGGTTACCAGTGCAGGAGGTAAGGGGATATCTTCCAACATACCTTGTCCTTTGGCAATTGTCTGGGTGGAGATTTCCTTAGAGTTACTAAAGGGCCCAAGTGTGAGTCCAATTTTATACCAACTTCTGGCCAAGTAAAAAGACTGCATCAATATTCTGTGTCAACTGTATACCCTGAGCAGGCATATGGGACAGGTCCATGTATACACCGATCAGCGATAACTGCGATAACTGCGATAACATTGACCCCCCACCTAATATTGTGTAGGTGCCTTTTGGCATCCAAAACAGCCCTGATCCATCGAGACATGGACTTCACTAGACCTCAGAAGGTATGTTGTGGTATCTGCCACCAAGCCATTATTAGCAGACTCCTTAAGTTCTGTAAGTTACAAGGTGGGGCCTCCATGGATCAGACATGTTTTGAAGCACAACCCACAGATGCCCAATTGAATTGAGATCTGGAGAATTCAGAGGCCCAGTCAATACCTCAAACTCGTTGCTGTGTTCCTCAAACCATTCTTGAACCATTTTTGCAGCGTGGCAGGGCTGAAAGAGGCCACTGCCATCAGAGAATACAGTTTCCATGAAGTGGTGTACTTGGTCATCAACAATGTTTAGGTAGGTGGTACGTGTCAAAGTAACATCCACATGAACGGCAGAACCCAAGGTTTCCCCAGCAGAAAATTGCCCATAACATCACACTGCCTCCGCTGGCTTGCTTTCTTCCCATTGCACATCCCGGTACCATCTCCTCCCCAGGAAAGCAATTATTAATAATAATTCCAAACTAAAAAATAAAATTGTAGTACCTTAGGATTTTTGTAGTACTATTTGGAAGTTCTTACCTGTGACCAGCATTTCAGCAGGAAGATCCTCTATAATGCATTTCTCTTCTTTTTCTGCGGAGTGATAGTACATAGCATTCGCCAGCATCCAGACACTGAGAATGATCACTACACGTGTTACAGTTGCTGCCATGTCTGTAGTCTCAACAAACGTAAATCGCCAGAAGCACAGATGGAAGTCAGCGTTCACAATGAGCTAACAGCACTATACTGATTCTCATGGGAAAAGCCATCTGCTTGATATCTACCTGTTAATTTTTAACATTCAGAAATTGCAAACTTTAACTCTAGTTTTACTAGAAATATATTGAAGAAGCTATAAAAAAAAAAAAAACTATTAAAGCCTAACTTCACCCAAAACTTTTATTGTTAGTTTTGGACAGTGTGGAGAAGGACTAGATAAGGAGTACCTATGGCATATATAGGCACCAAATGACGGGTGTATGGGACTGGATCTCTAGATATTTAAAAGAATGTTTTGTAATAATGTGTAACAGGGTAATGGGGACATGCTGTGCAATCTACTAGGAGATCAGTAATTGTAAGTACACATAGTCAAGGCCTTCTGAGTCCCTTAAGTTTTTATTTGCAGTCTTGACCTCCAATGGTGAGACTTTCCCTAACTCTCTGTTGGGACTAGGGACCAATCAGGCTGTGCAGCATTGCACATGTTCCCAGTAAAAATACTGACATGAGTGAAGTGCAGAGGGAATGACATTCTAATTTTAGAAAAAATCCAACTGACAATGAGCAAATCCTCACGGCATGCTGCCACAGTTCACAAATAAGTGTGCCATGCTTTGGCCGGCCCGGTTGTAATGCCCAGACACCAATTGGCCTTTTACATCTCATCAGCAAAGATGATTCAGCCCATCCACTCCTGGAACTCCCTCTACTTGTTTACTTAGTCCATCAGTTTATCCAGCAATGTGAATCAGTGCTCCACATTTAGTGAAAATCAACGTTTAAGTGAAGTGTTTTGCTCATTATTAGCTAGGAAGGTTTTTGTGAGAATACAATTGAGTCCTTACCTACACATGAATGTGAATATATTCGTTTTTTACTTAGGCCTGCAAGAACAGTACCTTGGTTGGGGGAGCCAACTGTACCTGGGTTGAGGGAACATCTCACCACCATGGTCCTGAATTGTAGTAAAAACTTAGACCTGGACATGGCTTACTTCTATTATAACTGACCAAATCAGAGAAATTCATTCGCACTTAAAGAAGAACTTCAGGGATTTAAAAAACATACCCTTGCAGTGCGGGGTAACTGCCCATTTTGTCTAGGGCAGTCAAATGAAGCAGATACCTGATCTTCAGTCCTGCCGGACTGCTAGACTGGTCCTCACAGCCTCTTTTTTACTTGGCTCTGTTGGTCTAAGATCCATTGACATCATCATGTCTTATGCAAGTCCATTGGCTTGCATTAGAAGTGAGGATGCCAGAGACATATTCCATAAACGCAGCATAGGGTGAGAGAGGTGAGCGCTGACTGCCATGGGACCGAGGATCAGGTAACTAATACATCTTTATTTGACCACTTCCCTAGACACAGTGAGCACTTAACCTAGAAGTGCGGGGATAGCCCCTCTGCAAGAGTAAGTTTTTTTAAATTCCTGAAGATCTTCTTTAAAATATGCTAGATCAGTGGTTCTCAACTCGTGGGTCGCGACCCAAAAGTGGGTTGCGACACCCTCTGCAGTGGGTCGCGGCGTCATGTCTGAATAGACCGGCCTGAGACTGAATAGAGAGGGGGAATTTGTGGTTCAGCCTGTGTCAAAATGTTATATATATATATATATATAATGTTGCTGAATACTGCACAAGTTGTTTTGTGTAATAAATGTAAATGTTTCAGAAATGAAATCATTTTTGGGTCACGCCTTAATGACCAAGGAAACATGTGGGTCCCGAGGTTACACGGGTTGAGAACCACTGTGCTAGATAATGTGAATCACATTTTCAATGGAGAAGTCATTTCACCAAATTTTGCATTAAAATTGTCAAAATTCATTTGCATTGCTTTCACTCAAATGTTCCATAGGAAACTACTTAGGTGTGATTTGCTTTAAAAGAAAGATCAAATGGCTTTTTTCGATCAAAAGCCATGTGATCATGGTGAGACGTGGCTTAGATGACAAAGGGTTAGGGTTAGTAGGTACCTCTGTTGCTCAATATCTAACAACATGTTATACAAGCTAAGGTCTATGGGCATAGATGAAATAGTGTGCACGTGGATAGAAAACTGGTTACAGGAACGTGTACAAAGAGTATCAGTTAATGGCACCTTTTCAGACTGGGTTGAGGTCATGAGTGGCATGCCCCAGGGTTCTGTGCTGGGCCCCATGCTCTTCAACCTGTTTATTAATGATATCGGGGAGGGAGTAAATTGCTATGTGTCAGTGTTTGCAGATGATACGAAAATTGGGCGGGTATTTAGACAATGTAAAATTACAGGAGGATCTGGATGAAATCGGGGAGTGGGCAACTGTATGGCAGATGAAGTTCAATGTTGATAAATGCAAAGTAATGCACTTTGGAGTTAAAAATAAACAAATGGGCTATTTGGGGTGCTGTGTCCACATGTCCACATGATACGCTTTCTCCGTGGCTACAACTCCGATACTTTTTGTGTCCTTTAGTTCATACAAAGGCAACTATCGTGAAACCCAGCATATATCGGAATTTACCTTATGGACAGCGTCTTGTTTTTGTCTTTATACCAAAAATATACGAATACATCTGGCTTTTTAAGCGGCATGTCTCCTAATTGTCAAGAAAATTTCTTTCATTAACCCACTCATCTACTCATGAGTTTATGGGCGGTTTGCAGTCATATATTTTCGTGTATATATATTTATCTGTTTGTTGTGTGTATATATTTATCTAATTGTTTGATTAATGTATTTTTCTGATTTTTGTGTACGTAGAGTCTTAGAGATATGGATTTTTAATGAATAAATAATTTATACCTTCTTCACCATTTAATTGGTATGTAGTTTTTGTAAAGAATGGTGGGATCCCCTCTCACTGGGGAAAACTTATTTTTCTAAATAACTTTGAATAGTTAGGGGACCCCCATTTATATCTAATTTATATTAGAGATATTGTGCATATACCTTCCCTTCCCCGTTCTTTTTTGCTAAACTCTTTACGGTTAACTCGGTAACAAAGACCAGAGGACACCACCAAAAATTGGTGGAAAAAAAATGTCAGCACACGGGGCGCAAGGGGTTCTTCACAGTTAGAGCGGTTAAGGTCTGGAACTCACTGCCGCAGGAAGTGATTTCAGCTAAGAGTGTGGAATCATTTAAGAAACTCCTGGACGAGTTCCTCGGAGATCACAATATACAGGGGTACAGGTACTCCTAAGAACAAAATTACACATGGGCTCATACACACGCACACACCAGCTCAAACATAAATGCATACATGCAAAAGGTTGGACTTGATGGACTTGTGTCTTTATTCAGCCTCAAATACTATGTAACTATGTATATGTTCCCAGTTAACACAGTGCCATCTTTCACAGACATTTTGGTGAAGCAACAATTTCCAATTTGATTTTCCCCTATCTGTTATCTGTGAATAGTTGAAGGTCTTTGGAATGTGCAACATCTGTATCAGACCCAAACTTGATGGTATCTCTGATCTCTGGAGCATTGTGATTGTGACTCCAGGCCCACGGCCCATCAGCCCGTCCTTTCATAAATAAAATCCAGTAGCTGTACTGGAGGTAACACACCAAAGATTAAAAGGCAAAGCAGACTCCGTCACATGGAACTCGAATCCCATAATGAAAATTTCAGCTGGATTCCGGTTCTCAGAAGTATGAAACATTACATCCACAGATAATAAATCTAGAGTGTTTTTCTCAGGAAATATTCCTCCTTCTACATAGTGTAACCTAGACATGGAATCTTGCAATTAATCTTACTAATAGCATTACCATGTGTGGTTTTGCAATCAGGGTATACCTCAAATGTAATAATAGGTCTACCCTGAGGACAAACCTGTCCTTTATTAATGAGAGGTCCATACTGCCAGAAAATATTAAAGAATAACCAATATGCAGTGGTATATACTATAACCCTGTAAGTCTATATCAGGTACAAAAATGATTTTATGATGCAGTGGTTGCTTTTTGTGCTCTACACCTGTACAGGCTCTGATATTGATCAGCACAAACACCTAATTTAAAGATGTGAAGAAAGGTCACCGACCCTCCAAAATCCAGCACAATGTGTCACCTTGAGGAAGGGACCCTGCCTGTCCCCAAAACATTGGCAATTTTGACCTATGTGATGTTAGTGATGCAACATTTTCTTTGCATTTTGCAGTGCTGTTGACCTATCTTCACATCTCTGAGTGAGGTTCATGCTTGGTGCCATCCATTATGGTCACTTTCAACATTGGTCACATTGCTGTATGCAGCAGGCACTGCCAACAATGTATTGATCAGCATGACACAGTTGAGTGGTGGGAACAGAGTCATAGTTTGTGATTGTGAGGGAACGGGATATAGATAAAAGTATTAGTTGGTTATATTAATTGAATTCACTACTCCCTATCTTGAAAAAGTGTCCAAATTATTTGATCCATACAATTGTAATTGTAATATATTAGGGCCACCACTGACTCACCTGGTAGTTGTTCTTTTGGTATTGTGTAAGCAGGATGGGATGGAATGTGATGTGACAATATGAGGACAGCACTAGAAAATGCAGGCAGCTCTTGCCAACCTTTGTGATTGTCTCCTGTATGATACAGGCGGACAGCACCTCACTGGACCCCCCCCCATCTGCTGGTCTGTTGCAGAGCAATACCGTGTTATACTAAAAGTTCTCACAGCAGTGGCGTCGCTACAGGGGGGCGAGGGGGGGCAATTGCCCCCCCTAGGTTATTGCTTGCCCCCCCGCCAGGGCCGGACTGGCCATAGGGCATGTCGGGCCGAACACAATCAGCCTGATTGTGTTCAGCCCGCACAGCCGCTATGCCCGATGCAGTGGCGTAACAACTGGGACCCCCGTGGACTATGGGGCAGTGCAGGGTCCCGGTGTTAGAACACCGGGTCCCGCACTGCCGACTCAGTAAGGGGGCGGGCTCTCCTCTCCCGACCACGTCCCTAGTT